ACCAATGCCTCAATCACTGTAATAAAATAAATTCTAAATCCCTATACATTTTGGCATTTGTTTTGGGGTTTTTAATCATGGAAAAATCAGAGCTCTCTCTGCCCCCTTTGCTCACCAGGACGCAGGTCCAGGCCCCTCACTCCCAAGCCACAACCCACAGGCCTGCTAGTGACTCCCACAGCACCCCCTGCCCTGCTGGTGCCCCTCACTCCCTACCCACAGCCCCCTCACCCCCCAAGCTCTGCTGGAGGAGACCCCCTGCTGCCAAAGCTACAGGCCCTGCAGCTCCCAGCACTCTGCAGCAGTGCCTGAGCCTGGCCCACCCTCCATGGACAGGACACCTGAAGTGGAGCCCATGGTGGGGGGGAGGAGGGACTGCTCATTGCAGGCTTGGGCTCCCCACCCTGCTGCCCTCCCCCTGGGGCCTCTGCAGCCCAACAGGTGGGACATGGCGCAGCAGGGCAGGGAAACTCCTTCCACTGCAAGCCCTGCACTGCCCTGGCGAAGCACTCCTTACCCGCCCAGCAGCAGTGGGGGTGGTAGTGCAGGGCTGTGCCCCTTGCTGCTGCCAGGTGGGTAGAGGGCACTTTGCCATGGCGGTGCAGAGCTCCTAGCAGCAGCAAGGAGCTTCCTCACTTGGCCCCACTTTGGTTTGCCACACCAGGTCCCACCTGTTGGGCTGTAAAGGCCCTGGGGGAAGGCAGCAGGGTGGGGAGCCCAAACCCACAGCCCACCCCACACACAAATCTGGGGGGGGATGTGCCCCCCTCCAGCTCCCCCTGAACTCTGCCAGCCTGCAGACAGCTCTCTGCAAAAGTGGAAAATTGGTGTGTTTCTCCAAAAACCTGTTTTCCTCAGTCAAAAGGGAAAAATCTGCATTTTTATCCATTTTCCCATGAGAAGCGGAAAAGCCAGATCATTTCACAGCAACAAAAGTGACATGACAATGACACCCTGCTGGTAACCCCCAGCTCTGTACCCTCCCTGAAAAATCATCATGATCACAGATGGTTCCTGACAATGTAGATACATACAACCTTAACACAGAGGGTTTCCAGGTATCCCACAACTGTCAAGACTTCCCATAGCTTCTGGGATCTATAATCATTTCACTTAGATGGCAAAAGTTAAACAGTCCATCCTTCCCCTCCAACCCCAAAGGGAGCCTCTAAACATTGAATGGGACCAGGAGCTGTAGGTTTCCTATTAAAGTACAGAAAGAAAAGACTGTTCCACCATGCAGCTGGAATTTCAATGAAGAGGAGGATCTGCCAGTTGCAAAGCAAAGACTAAAATCACTATTGGGTTCCAACCACCAACGCTACTGCAAATGAATGGCTTTGAACTGCCTTTTCATTACTGTGGCTATTCTTCTCATGTCCTGTCTGAGATTGCTGATGACAGGTATTTGGGAGAATACCCTACTGTGGCTATGAGGTCTGGTAGCACCGGAAGGTGCAGACAGACCTAACACTTGAACCACTTTAAGAACGTCACTGATTGGGAACCGATTCACAAGTGTTCACATATACAGAGCTACGGGTTCTCGGTAGACTCTTCACCTTTTAGGCACTGCACGGCTGCTGACACGCCAGCGGGGATGGTGGAGTACCCAGACTACCATGCCTCCCAGGGGTTAGCACCTGGAGTTTCCCAAGTTCCCCTAGAGGAGGAGAAGACCCAGCCTGGGGCAGGAGGTTGGAGTGGAGGGGTTGCCAGGTGCTGAGAGGGGCCACGTGGCTCCTTGGTCATAATTCCCAGGGGGCTGGGTGCTCTGGGGCCCCCTCCCCTCCAAGAACTCCCCAGCTTTTCCAATGACCGAAGTACCTTGCATTACCAGCAACTGCACAGAGATGTGTGCGGGGTGGAACCTGCAAGGCGGGGATGGCTGCAGGAGCGCAGCGCAGAAGGGAAAGGCACAATTAACAGTTAATGAGCTAATTCACTTCCCATGGAGTAGGGAACTGACAGGCATTGCACAACAGGAAAGGTTTTCTTCAGGTGATCTATTTTATTCCAGCTGTACAGTTGGCCCAGTAGAGTTAGACAAGCTTTTGAATGAAAGACATTCTTCTTCAGGCCTGATCAGAACCAGCCACTTGTTCTGGTCAGACCTGAAAAATGTCTTGCATTCAAAAGCTTGTCTAATTATCCCAACTAGACAGTAGGTCCAATAAAAGATACTACCCTAAGAAATCCTTGCTTCTCAATTTCTGGACCACCACAGCTACAACATCACTTCCATTACCACTGTGCAACAACTGTTTCATGCCCCCCACCCAATCCCCCCATCCAGCAATTGACAGACATTTACTGTTACAGGAACAACCACTCATCACCCCAAGTAAACCTAGGCTGCCTGCCCAGCGTCCCTAGTACAGAAGTGAAACTGCTACAGGGGCTTTCTGCTTCCCCACCCTTTCAGACAAGACATTTTGGGCACAAGGCTCATGGTTGCATCCCAGAGGACCCCCCACTGCCCTTCATGGGTTTTGGGGGCTGAGAAACAGTGCGCTCCAGGATGCTTGGAGGACTGACCAGTCACTAGGTCCTAAATGCTTGGTGCCCTCACATAACATTGAACCAGTTCAAGGAGGACCGGTCTAAAGCAGCCTGCACATCTACACTCTTGGGGTTTAGAGTACATTTACAATGCTCCAAGTCAGGAGTGTCAAAAATACGGCTCATGGGCTGGGTCTGGCCCATGGGCCAGTGGACTGGGTCCAACCCTGTGCACACTGCAGGCAGCACAGGGCACTGGACCACCCACGTGTGCTGTATGAAGCACAAGGGGCTGGCCTGGGCGTGCATGCTGCCCACGGTGCCCAGGCTGCACATGGCCCACGGGATCTGGGACATGGGCTGCCTGCAGCACCGGGGGCAGCTCACGTGCCATGAGCAGTGTATGTCCCATACCAGCCCCAGGGACTGGCACATGTAGCGTGCAGCTAGGACCTGGCACTGTGAGTGCTCCAGAGGGAGTCGGTCTAGTCCAGCCCGGAAGCTGGCTTAGAGACACCCCTGTTTGTCTGTCCAGAGACTTCCCCAGCCAGGTATGGAGGCCTGAGCAGATCCCATCTTCCATTTACATATGAAGAGAGAGCGCTGAATAGCCTGACCTGCAAAGACACTCCTGCACCACCAGGCTGATCAGCCTCTTCTCTGGCATCAGGTGCTCACACCCTGGTGACCAGCAGCGAAGCATTGTGCTGCTGCTTGGGGGAACAAGAAACAGCAGCTTCAGTAAGGAAGGGGACAGGACACTGCAAACAGAGCCAAGCAAGGGGAAGGGGCAGGGGAGTGGATGGCAATCCCCACCCCCTCCGGCCCGGAGCAAGGGAGAGGAGGAGGGAGGGGAGTTTCACCATTTAACTCCAAAGAGGGGGAGGCTACGAAGGGGACTCCAGCACCAGCACCCCCCCCTCCTTGCACCCGGGCATCGATAGAGCCGAACAAACTGCAGAAAACAGCAAAGCCCCCTGCGATCGGCCTGGATACCGATCACTTGTTTGAGCGGAGGCCAAACCCCTTCCATCCTTGGCAGCGAGCGCCGGCTGGAGATGCTGGCTCTCCTCCCGACCCCTTACAAATACAGCAAGTCCCCGGGACTTTCCACCGAGCCTCCTGCCCCGGGGGTCTGACCGCCACCCTCAGCCCAACGCCCTCCTGGCAGCGCCTCAGAGACCCCCGGCGAGGCAGACGCCGCTGCGCTTCGCGAGACGGCGGCCCCCAAAGTTCACCCCTCGGCCCACGAGAGCGCCCCGCGCCCCTCCCGTCCCCGCCTCTTTCGCGGGGAAGCCTGTAGGCCCGAAGGGCCCGGGCGGGCGCGGACCTGCAGCCCAGGAAGACGTGGTTGGCCCACAGCACGGACAGCGCCAGCAGCTGGTCGATGGCGGCGCCCGGGTAGCTCCGCAGGTGGCGCAGGATGAAGCGGCGCCGCAGCGCCCAGTGCCGCTCGGTCTCGTGGTACTGCCGCCACTGCGCCAGCGCCGCCTCGCCCACCGCCGACCCGGCCCCAGCCC